CAATCTTGAAGAGGCACGGATGTTTGGGTTTCGGAAGGTGCGATGAGCAAAGGTGTATATTCTTAGTTTTGCTGTGTTTTCTTCCCTAAGGTTTCGCATCCCCACCCAGGAACACAAGCACTAGGTGACAACAACACTCAAGTCACCTGTTCTGACTTGCACATCCCAGCTCTGTCCCGAGTGGACCCCACCTGGCCCTCAGTGCCTTCCTCTGAGCTCAGGCCTGCACTGCGCACTCTCCCCATTGGCCTCAGACTGGCTGCCTCCCGACCCCCGTCCCCAGGACCTGGGCACCCCCATGGCCTACGGGCCCCCAGAGAAGAGAGCACAGGGAATCCCCTCAGCTAACCTATCATTTCCCAACTCACACAGCTGAAAAATAACAGAAGCCAAGAACATGGCAAACGGATTTCACTCCAGGACAGAATTTGTTTTGTCTTTACAAAATGAACAAAATCTTACTTTCTGGACCTGAAACTGCCGGGAGTGAGGACACAGAGCCTTGCCTTCTTTCTCCCTCATGGTCTATTCTAGAAGATGCCAAGGAGAACTCCACTTGACCCCACAAGCCCAGCACACTTTTTCTTCCTTTTCATTCTGCCTCTCTCAAGTCACAGATGGGCGCCAGCTTCTCCTCAGACAGGCCACTTGACATAGTGTTTGTGGCCAGTGGCCAAGGTCATGCCTGCCCTCTCCACTGACCCTCCCTCCCACTCTACGGTGTGCCAATGGCTTCTTGAGAGCGTCCAATGGGAGGCACGGCCACCTCGGGTGGGCAGAGCCTGCAGGGGGAGAAAGGAGACCCAGAGAACACATCTCCATGGCAACCCAACACACTCGCTGCCTGAAAGGAGGGAACTTTAATAAACCACGTAAACACCCACACGCCGCACGCTGAAGGCTTACTTCTGGGAACCAACACCAAGGAAACAATTCAGCAGAGGGAAAAAAAGACGCAAGCACAAAGACATTCGCTGGGGCTCTGTGTAATAACTGGCAAACCCAAAACGAGCTAAATGCCATGAAACTATGACACAACTCAGACGATCACTAAGTAACTGTGAAAATGATTATTACAAAGACTGCAGGACGTGGATGAATTCCTGACAGGTTAAATCAGAAAAGATACAACATTGTTTATAGCTATGATCACAACTCTAAAAAGTATGTATAACTTTGGAGAAAACCTAGAAGGGAAACCGTGCTAGCAAAATACCTGTGCTAGAGTAACATGACAGATTTCTGCCTTTAAAATTCTTTGTGGTTGTCGTGTTGTTCTCACAACTAAAAATGAGCTGGGGGCTGGCTCCGTGGCTGAGTGGTTAAGTTCGTGCGCTCTGCTACGGCGGCCCAGAGTTCAGATCCTGGGCGCGGACATGGCACCGCTCATCAGGCCACGTTGAGGCGGCATCCCACAACTAGAAGGACCTGCAACTAAGATATACAACTATGTACAGGGGGGTTTGGGGAGACAAAGCAAAAAAAAAAAAGATTAAAAAATAAATAAATAAAAATGAGCTGAACATTGCTGCTTCTTGTCAGCCAGTGGGGAATCCCATGCGTCTGTGAAGTGGAACCCACCAGGGCACCCTGGAGAACTCACACCATCCATGGGGGCAGAAGTTTGCCTGAGTGGGCGGAACACCTTGTGATCCTCCCAGGAACACAGGAGAATGAGAGGCTCCAAGAGCATTTCCCACTCGCCTCCCCAGCTCCCCTGGACACCTGCCACAACACAAGACAGTCGCTCATCTCTGATGCGGTCTGGGCTCTCTGCCCCACGCCCCAGAATAGAGCTGCACCTGGGATTGGCTGCTCAGCATCCCACAACTTGCATGGCAGTCATCAGGACCTTTGTTTCAGGGTCGTCCTTTCTGCTATGTGGGACAAGGACCCAGGGAACTGGCACCTTTAGCATGTCCTTTTTGCTGTCTATGAAAGTAATAAACTGAACCTAAAAGTGGCTCATCTATCTTTACCAGTCAAATCAGTTAGGCCTCGGTCTTGTCTTATGTGTGAGCTTGACAAGATCCCAACGTTATGTGTTAATAAAGCATCAATAAAATCCAAGAAGTGAGTGTATGCATATGCATATGTGTGTGTGCCTACAGAAGCATCTCTCTCTCCATGGTGTTTTAAGCTAGATTACTTTCATAAATGAAATAGGAAAAGGGAAAACACACTCACACACACACACTTTAACCAACCAGAAAAACAGGGACGTGCAAAACTAATCCAGATTCAAAAACCTTGGATTCCTGTGCCAGCTCCATTGCTAGGTTTCTAATCTTGAGAAATTCTCTTCCCTGATCTGGGCTCCCATTTTCTCTGGCACCCACGAAGGAGGATATGGACTGAATGAGCCCAGCCGCAGCTGTGCCGTCTCCACGGCGCCACGGCTCACAGAGACACACGTAAGAACCTGCAGAGCCAGGATGTGGAGCAGCCGGTGCCCCCTTCTGCTGAAAGCAGTTACAGGCAGCAATAAGTTAACGGAACAAAAGCAATTTACTTCTAGTGTCCAACAGAAGCTGCTCAGACACACGCCTAGGTTTCCAGCTGCTCCCCCAGAGTGGGGAGGAAGCTGTCTATTTACACACAACAGAATGTGTGGGAGCCCTGCAGCAAACAGGAATGCCACTGCACTCATGGGTCCTGTCCTTGTGCCTGCACAGCTCTGTTCTAGGGCCTGGTGTACCGGCACTGGAGTCAGAGAGTGTGGTTCAGTCCACATGAACGCAGCAACAAGAAAGCAGGGCATACAAGTTCAGGAGAAAAGGTTCCTCCTGCTAGGGCAACGGGGAAGGCTTCCAGGACAAGGAGAGTGTGAGCTGGGTCCTAAAGTGTGAGTTGGACAGAATTTAAACGTATGAAGTGAGTGGGGAGAGGAGATTTGCGATTCAAGGGAGCGTGTGTGATCAGAGACACAAAGTGGAAAAGAGAAATTCAGTCTGACTGATAAGTTAATAGGAAGCAATAAGACAGAGACCAGACCACAAGGGCCTTAAATGCCAGACCAAGCAAAAACCCAGACCAGCTCTGTCTTCCTTAAGCGTTTGTGCTTGTCATCATTTGAAGATAAACGGAACCCATTAAGGCATTGAGAGAGTTATACAGCCACAGGGGAAACCAGCAGACTCATCTATAGGGTTTTTTTCCTCCAATAATTTAGTTCAAATGGTAATTGCCTGAAATGAAAAACAACTTCTACTTAAGATTTTCTTTTTTCCTGGAAAGTAAAGCAAATATTGAGAAACAGTTGCAGGAGCCAAAAGTCAAAGATAAGTTTTAAAAGAAAGTATGATCACAACTCTTGTACAGATAAAACACAAAGATTTATTTAACTCAGTAATTAATGAGGGTCCAATAAGATGTTACAACTGGGAGACTGCAAAAAATCATACATATATAGGCCGTCAGAAATGCTGAAATAAACCTGCTTAATAGATGCAAAACCAAGAGTGGTCCATCTCCACCGGACAGCAATCAACTGCATCACCCCCAGATACAGTCTGCATGCAAAGGACAAGAATCACAGGCGTTCCATCAGGATTCTACAACTGACAGAGGGTTACACAGCTCAAAGGTAAGGACAGGCCCAGGGACCCAGAGAATCGATAACCAGACAACGCCTACATTTCCATTGAGGACACTCAGTAGACTTTTTGATCCATTTCAAAATCTTTCACAATTTTTCCCTGCAAAGGTGAGTACTGATCAACACAGAAACTGTAAACTCTCAGGTGGGTGCTTTACAGGTAACTGCAGGGAGGATGGCAGCCGGGCACAGGCCTGGACCATCAAGGCGTGGCAGGTTAGGAGGCAGGTCCGCGCCCACCTGATCCACTTGAGCCTGGGAATCAAGAGGACCTCGGGCTGAGCCGCAAGCCAGCTGAGAGCAAGTCTCTCCCCTTTCCTTCTCTGGAGCGTCTAAAATGAGCCTGGCACCGAGCCAGGCTGCTCAGCCCTGACCACACCTGGGCGTTACCTGAGGCGCTTTAAACAGTACACTTGCCCTACTCTAGAAATTCCACTCCTAGCTTCTGAATCTACTGGTCGGGGTGGAACTGGAGCATTACTGGCTTTTGAGATCTCCCCAAGTGTTTCTAATGAGCAGCCTGGCTTGACAACCACCCGACCAAATGATAAGGAAGACCTCTTGGTCCCTGACGCTCTGTGGCTTTGTTGTAATGTTTCCTTTTAACTGACAGCTGCTAGCCTCAGTATAGAACTGGAGAACATCAGAGAGACATTTTCCAAAAATGCTCTTCAAATTTAATCTTTGATAGAGACCATAAAACAAGCACAAGGCACGACTTGGTCAGACTTGGCAAACATCCTGCAATGTGTTAGAATCTTCGTTGCGGTTCCATCAATTCCATAAGCAGTTTGCTGAGTTGAGCACAGACTTGGTCTCCGAATTTGCTGCTTTAGTCATAATGCGTGTACTGGAGTAGAAAGATGCCCACAGGTGTGTGTGCTAAGAGGCACTGACACTTGTGTAGTGTGTGCACGCACACAGGCATTCATGCAAAGACACTTCACACTCATAGAGCAGCCTCCAAATCAAAGATTGGGGTCAAAGAGTTATAAAGGGGCCCCACCTCACTCTGGGGGTAACTGATTAATCACCTCTTAAAAGGCTGGCTGGTCCCACAGTGGGGAGATAATTGACAACAGCACAGATGATGGTGAGTCCCAGCACTTCCCCTCCAGCTCTTCTGACACCTCCGATAGTACTACAAACCTGATGGGACCACTTTGAACACACTCAACTTATCACCGAAGTCTGCCCCAGGCAATCCCTGGTGCTCTGTGTAAGTCCCCTTACCCTGATAAGCCTTGTGTCAGGCGCTCTAAAGGACACTGGCCTGCTTTCCTGTGGAACCATGGAGGGCCGAGGGCCAAGCGTCTCCAGGAAAGATGCTCTTCCCTAGCCTCCCCGTCTCGGTCCCCATGATCCTTACCCCACACCCCAACACACACACACACACACTTACTGCAGGCCGCACAGGTGAAGCACGCGTCGTGGTAGAGGTTCCCCATGGCCTGGCAGGCCTGACCGGCCCCAAACACCCCTTTGCTGCATTTCACACAGGCTCCTGCAAGGGAAGAACAAACCAGTGAGTCAGGAGGGAACAGTGGAAACTGAGTCATAAAAAAGCCAACGAACAAAGCGAGATACCCATCCCTCCCCACAACCAGCCATCACCAAATCCCATGGATTACTCCTTGGAAATGCCTTTCTCTCCCACGCTCTCCCGCTAGCAGCCTTTCAACTGCAGGAAACCAGCCCCATGCTCGACTTCGGGCCCCCACTCTCCCGCCCCACACTGCCCTCCACACTGGCATTAGTGTCCAGATACCTCCACTGTGTCAACCTACTCCCCTGCCCAAAACTTTCAAAGGCTCCCAATGTTTAAAAGACAATGTCCAAAAATCTGCATCATGATTACAATATGCGAAGTGTGCAGGTCAGGCAATTTCAACTAAATTATTTCCTTTAATTCTCAGTGGGAACCACCAACTAGGATTTACTATCCTCACTTTTTACAAAAAGTATCAGGCTCCAGGTCTATCAGACTGCGAAGTCAGTGCTCTTCCTTGCCCCCGTGCCCTAACCCCTCACCTCCAAACAGCCCCTCAATCTCAGCTCTTAGCCTGTGCTCCTGGGCTCCCCTCCCTGCCACCCTACGCCCACCCTCCCATCCCTTCACGTCCTCCAGGCCTTCCTCTGGCCCGTCTCCACCACGACTCCCTCCCCTCTCCGACCCTCTGGCTCTGGAGGCAACATGATGAACCAGAAGTTAAAGAGCCAGGTTCTAAGCTTGAGCCTCCCAACCACTCACTTCTCACGTGGTTTGCGTTAACCCGGTAAGTTCTCTGCGCATCAGCTTCTTAACCAGGAAGAAGAGGTTAGATCCCCCTGCCCTGCATGTTCCCAGGAGCAGCAGTAAAAAAGGCTGCTTGTAAACCAAAAAGTTCTGAAGAGTTCATCCGCCTCAGCTACAGAGTGCCCATCGGAAGACCTGGTCTTGAACTATAACTCCACAATTTGCTAGCTATGTGACTGGGGCAGGTTATTTGAACTCTCTGAAGCCTGGTTGTTATTTACAAAATGATAATGGCAGCCCCCTTAAGGGTTACTGTGAGAGAGCACGTGAAGCGTGCTTAGACAGGGCCCTTCATCTCAATAAACAGGGATGTAAATAAGGATGATAATAATGTAACTGCACTCAGCAAGAAGTGGCTTCAACATAAAATGAGCTCTCTAAGAAGTCCCAGGCCTCCCAGGATATCACCCTGCGCAGAAGCCAGACGTCTCTCTGTCTAGACCCACCCAGAATCTCCACTGCAATAACCCAGGCTCTGGGCTGGTCCACATAAAGGAGGCCTTAGAGTCTCCCTTTCAAAGAACTCTCCCGGGATAGTCAAATGAGAACATGGCAATTAAGTACATAAGGCATAAGATTAAAAAAAGATTCAGGAAGGAAACACACCAAAATGTAAAGAGCGGTTTCTTTAGGTTGTAAAATTATGGCTGGTTTTACTTCTTTGCACTTTCTGGATTAAATAAAAAATCTTACAAGAGCAGGCATTACTTTATGTCTGAAAAAAGTCTGGTCTCAAAAAAGTATTTGAATATGTTTAAATACCTTGTATAAGGTTGAAATTTTTGAAAACAATTTTATTTATATATATAATTGATTTTTCAAAAATTTAAATATATATAAAGAGCTGCCCCAGCATCTAGCAGGGTAACCAGCTCGAGTCGTTGGTCAGCAGGGGCACAGCATCCTTTCCTAACTCTGGTTCCCATCTGCCAGGCTGTTCCAGATTACAAATCCCCAGCCTTCTGCTCATAGGGCGGAAAGCCCTGTGTTTCAGACTTCCTATCATTTCAAGTGGATAAACTGCATCACCTTCAAAGGAAGCCCAAGCTGACACACCCTTCATGAAATGCACCCACACCAGCTACACCAGCCACAGTGGGTTCCCAGAGGACATGCTAGGTCAAAGGCCCTCAAGCTGCTTCACCCACACTCCCTTAGGAAGCAGGTGAGGCCACCTGTAGGAACAGTATGGTGTCAGCCAAGAAAACTGGCTGTTGGGGGAATTTGTTTATGAAAGCTCTAGAGAACACAAGCAGTGGTTACTTGTAGTTCTTCTGTTTCAACATTTTATTATGAAAATTTTCAAACATGCAGAAAAGTTGAAAGATCACACATGGAACACCCATATGCCCAGCACTCCAATTCTACAACTGTTAACATTTAGCTGTCCATCCCTCAATCAACCAACAATCCATCTTATTTTTGATGCATTTCAAAGTAAGGTGCAGATGGCAGTCCATTTCACCCCTAAGAGTTCATTATTTGCTTAGTCTTTTTAAGATAAAATTCATAAACAGTGAAATGCACAAATTATAAGTCTACCATCCAGTGAGTCTGACAAATGGCCGATGTAACACAAACCCAGATCAAGACACAGAATATTTCCAACAGCTCAGTAAGTTTCCCAATGCCCTTCTGGTCCATCTTCTCTTTAATGGCCATGAACTTCCTCGTATGCGCCTGCGTGCATGCATGTGTGTGCACGCATGTATGTATCTATGCATGCGTGTGTGTGTAGGAGAGACTCCTGAACAGCTGGTATTTCTGCACCTAGCAAGCAGCAAAGTTAACAGGGTGCCCCCCTCACTATGAAATTGAAATGCCAAGGAATTCAGAGGCGTCAGCATTTCCTTTTGTCTGATTATTTCGCATACAACTTAGGCTGCTCTTAAGTGAGGAAATACATCAGTTCAGGGCCAACGGCGCTCCCTTGTTGGCAGGCCCAGAGCTGTGCCCAGCTAGCAGGGAAGCGTGAAAACGGCAGGTTCTACCATGACCACTTCTCTTTAAGGCTCACTTCAGCCGGCTCATCACTCTAGAAACCAGTGGTGCTGACGGCTGCTACTGGGAGCCAGAGGACTGGCCACTGGAGCAGGCCAGGCTGGGGGGCCTCTGGGGTGTCCAGCATTTGGGAGCATGTGGATGTGGAAGTGATGGCGTTGGCACATTCACCACTGGACACGGCACCTACTGTGCTGTGGCAGGTTACTGGATACCTGGCACTGTCTGCCTCTCCTTGTGAGCTGGGAGTGCCCGCAGAGGGCCCCATCTTCACTATGGCCTCGGCAAGTGTTCAACGGAGAACTGTTGGGTTGAATCACTTCCTATGTAGCTCCACGCACAGCCCTCTCCTCTTCCCCTCTTCCCTGACACTCACCCCACTGTACCGGGGGGACACATGTCCGTCCTCCCTATAGCCTTTTACAGAGGTTCAGAGTCTTATTTATCTCTGAACACCCCCAGCCACTGACAAAGCGCACTTAGTCTGCCCTCAACAAACATATACAGAAACAGAGAAACGGACTACACGGACATCTGCTGAGCAGAATTCAAATGGCATAATTCAAATGTGATGATGAGGAACACCATCTAGAAAATGTCAAATATCAAGCAAGGGTAAGGTATTAATGATGCTATTTGGTGATTCCAAGGCCCACTTCCAGACTCCCCATCCCAAGTCCCCTGGTTGACCCAACTCTAAATCTTTACAACAGCCACAAAGACCGAGTTCTCATGCCACAACCAAAGCAGACCCGGACAGAACATCAAAGCAACACAAACACCACTCTGCTCACGAACTCGGAACAAACCCACCCCAAAGGCAGCATCACTTCTTCCCTGTTAATCGTTGTGGCCTCTTCACTTAACTCACCGCAGAAACGTTAGCTGCAGAGAGCAGAGGGGTGGTGAGACCCAACAGCGTGGCAGCCCTTCCACCGTCCACGGGGTGAACGCAGAGCCAGGGCCAGCCTTCGGGACGGCTCGCCCAAGAGGAAAAGCGGGATCAATCTCATCGTCAGCGGGACTCATCTTGTTTGGGGAATAAATTAGACAACCTCTCCCACTCCTGCTCGTACAGCAAACGGCAGGACGGAAAGCGTCTTCCAGTGGACGCTGACACTGCGCTGGCCTCCCTGGGCTTCCTGCGACTTTCTCTCTCAAGGTCAGGCCTTCCCCTGCTCCCTGCGCCCAGCAGAGTGACACTCTCCTGGTGTCCTCTTATCTGAGGCTGTGACCTACTGCCTTCACCTCCCACTCACTCTCTTATTCCTGCAGCTCCAGTTCTTCAGCTGCTGACATCCTCTCACCACTCCGACCATTAGCACAGATACAAAGCAAGCAAGGAAGCCACTTGAGTTCTGAACTGGTAGGTACAAAGTGAGGAAGATCCCCCAAGTAGGCAGGAAAATATTTCATCCTTGTGGCTTGTCGTAAATGGACAGAAAGGTACTCCATGGGCAGGAAACAGATCTAGTCTTCCTTCAGCAAGAAAAAAACAAAGTAAGTTTCACATTCTAGGAAATAAGGCACCTACCAGACCCTGGGCTGGGAGTTTTCAGCCAGTGAAGGAGCCGCTGCCATCCCCTTTCTCAACCCAAGTTCTAGAAAAATGCTGTAACTTGCTCAAGGTCACGTTGCTGGTAGGTTTGAAAGATAGAATCTGAGCTCAGGTTCTAACTCAAAGGTCCCGTTATCCCTGTCTGGTTGGCAGCTGTGGCTATTCCTGCCACACACCGAAAGACGAGGGGCTCCTTCCTCACTCCTCAATATACTACCTATTCAGGGAGTCAGACCCAAGACCAGCCCTGCCCCAGATCTCCTACAGAACGCCCCGGCCCGCCTCTCACTCTGCCCTATCCCACACACACAGGTCGTCTTTCCGCCTGGGACCTCAACCACAAGGCCTTCCCCAACGTGGACCCTCAGTTCCTCCTGCCATTCTGGCAGGGCCACTGCAGCTGAAGCATTCACCCCACAGATGCTTCCCTCTCAGTCAGTCGGAACCAGGCTCTCTCCAGACACTGGCAATAGGATGGTGAGCAAGGTGACTGCACTCTGGCCCTGCCTTCAGGGAACGGTCACCCAAGGAGCCAGGAAACCGGAACTGGCCACCACTGCTAGGTGAGCTGCCCAATCTCACCCGGAGCCCCGCACTGTAAATCCACTGAGTGGCCAGGGCTGGGGGGAGGCTCAGGCCTGTGACGTAA